TAAGTTAATCAACTCACTCATTTCATTATAGCAATGCAAAGTTGACTAATACAGAGGGCTTAGTCTTACCAGATATCAAAATGTACCATAATAAACAATAATCATGGGGGGGAGGGGAGAATAAAGGAGAATGATGGAGGGGGTAAATTTAATTGTGATACAGTGTAAGAACTTTTGTAAATATGTGTATGTGTGGATAAATACACACATACATACAGCCAAATTTAATAAAAGACAAATTAAGCACAATATATTAGAAATCAACCATTTAACATATTCTACCATGCTATATGGATAGCAATAAGCAAGCAATCCAAGAAAATTTAACTCAGACCAAACATTCATACTTCATACTGCATACCACAATAAACCCTGGGTAGATTAAAATATTAAATATTAAGAAAAAGTATTGAGAATTAAAATGTAATAACACATTTAAATTTACTATTGAAGATAAAATATACTAGTTAAGCAACAGAAATAACAAAGGAAAAGATAAATACTATTATACAAAATGTTAAAATCTCCATCCCTCCCTTCCTTTCTTTTTTTCCTTCCTTCTTTCCTTCCTTCCACCCTACCTGCTGCTCTACCACTTGAGCCACACCCCAAGCCATTTTTTACTTTCTACTGGTTCATACAACACAAACAAAATAAATAACAACAGCTTATTCAAAAGAAAAACACATGGGAAAAGTGATATTACAAAAGTTCACAATAGCATTATTTATAACTACATGCTAAAAAATACCCTGGAACTAATAAGAAAAAATAATTAATGTATGATACATTAATTCAGTCATGAATGATATATAAAAGAACAATAAAGATGTGAAAAGGAAAAAGAGTAAACAATTCTATCTACATTTAGGATTATAACTATGTAAAAATTACCTATCTTACAAACACCTAATGTCAAATGTAAATATAAATACATGTAGGAAAAGTTCATGAAAGAAGACTTCTAGATAGGGATGGCAAATTAAAAACAAACAACTACTTTTACATCCTCCTAAAAAACTATTAAAATACCAGTAAATTCTTGTTTTGTTTTGTTTTTTTGAGACATAGTCTTGCTATGTAGCCCACACTGTCCTTAATTCTCCTGCCTCTGCCATCTGAGTGCTGGGATTACAGGCGTGTCTTACTATCCCCAGCATAAAAAATGCTATTTTTAATATCCTCAGAAAGTTAAAAAAATATAACCACAAAAATAGAATATTACATATAAAAAAGGATATTCTGAGAACAAAAAGAAGCTTTTTAATAATAGTTTACATGAAAAACTCAATAGATGGACCAGAAGATAAATCTGAGTTATTTCTATAAAGTAGAGCAAGAAGACAAATTAAAAATATGAGAAGATAAGAAAATGATAGGGCAGATCAAGAAATCCCGCTATCAGAATAGCAGTTCTAAACAAAAAAGTAAAACAAAAAAATAAAAAAATAAAAAACAAAAAAAAAAAAGATTAGAAAAAATAAAAGATTAGAAAAAACAAAAAAATAAAAGATTAGAAATCATCAATTTAATAATTTAAAAACTTGGCAAATCAGAAAAGACAAATTTCTCATAAAGGGCTCAACACAAAACACGAAAATAAATCCCCAGCAAGGCACATGATTGTGAAACTTCAGATCAACAAAGACAAAAAAATCTTATAAGCTTTGGGAAAGAAAAAATGGTCATATAAAATGGTATAGAAATAAAAATGGCTTTAGACTTGCTAACAGCAGCACTGGAAACTAGATAATTCTTTAAAATTTTGGAAGGAAAACAATTTTTAATTTCAGAGTTCTATAGGTCTGGCAGAGTGGCTCAAGTGGTAGAGTGCCTGCCTAGCAAGCATGAGGCCCAGTGTTCAAAGCCCAGTATGGCCAAAAAAAAAAAATCAGACTTTCACTTTAAGCTGGGTGCTGGTGGCTCACCCCTGTAAGTCCTAGCTACTCAGGAGGCAGACATCAGGAGGGTCTTGGTTCAAAGCTAGTCCAGGCAAATAGTTCATGAGACCCTATCTAAAAAAAAACCCTTCACAAAAAAGGGCTGGTGGAGTGGCTCAAGAGTTCTATACCCAACCCTAACATCAAGTGTGAAAGAAGCATTTTCAGACACTCAAAATTTTATTTTATGTTTATTTTTTAAATTTTTATTTATTTATATTCACATATGCATACAATGTTTGGGTCATTTCTCCCTTCTTCCCCCACCCCCTCCCTAACCCCTCCATCCCCTCCCTTCCCCTCCATCCCCTTGCTACCCGGCAGAAACTATTTTGCCCTTATCTCTAATTTTGTTGAAGAGAGTATAAGCAATAATAGGAAGGACCAAGGGTTTTTGCTAGTTGAGATAAGGATAGCTCTACAGGGAGTTGACTTGCATTGATTTCCTGTGCATGTGTGTTACCTTCTAGGTTAATTCTTCTTGATCTAACCTTTTCTCTAGTTCCTGGTCCCCTTCTCCTATTGGCCTCAGTTGCTTTAAAGTATATGCTTTAGTTTCTCTGCGTTGAGGGTAACAAATGCTATCTTGTTTTTTAGGTGTCTTACCTATCTTCATACCTCCCTTGTGTCTCTCGCTTTATCATGTGATCAAAGTCCAATCCCCTTGTTGTGTTTGCTCTTGATCTAATGTCCGCATATGAGGGAGAACATACGATTTTTGGTCTTTTGGGCCAGGCTAACCTCACTCAGAATGATGTTCTCCAATTCCATCCATTTACCAGCAAATGATAACATTTCATTCTTCTTCATGGCTGCATAAAATTCCATTGACACTCAAGATTTTAAAACAGGGTTTTACATCTCCTATGTACCATTTTTTGAGAGGCTGAGAATGTGTTTTACCAAAATAAGGGAGTAAAGAAAAATAAAGGGACAAGTACCCAAACACTGGAAATAGGAGACACAAGAGATGGTGATAGTGAAAGGCAATCCAAGGATGCAGTGTGCACCAGAGTACAGAGCCCCAGTTCAGACTTAAGACAGGCCAAAAGGCTCTACAAGAGATTTCTTCTGAAAGTAGAGACTGATGGATCTGAATGTCCTTAGAGATTCAGACAACTGGTAAAGAGTATAGAGCTTAAAAACTGTAAGTACACAGAAAACTAAGCTAAATGAAAAAAGGAGGGCAAAATCAGCTGAGGAAAAATAATGTAAAAGAATGAAAATTAAGACAGTAGGTAGTCAATGGCTCTGCTGTAGATTTCATTATTTACAGAGTCACCATGATGTAAGTGCTGAATAATTACCTAGCAAATATAATTTGACTATACCAAGGAAAGATGAGAAAGGTAAGGGTAGGAAGAGGGGAAGAAGAGACCTAGTGCCCTATCTTTAATAGTGGGAAATTAAAAAATACTGCATGAAATCTGAAAAATTAAGTAGAAGCAATATAACTACTTATAATGGAGAGATGGATAAACACAAGGTAGGTTGTAAAGAAATTCTCTGATGGTAAGACTCCTATTTCAGAAGGGGTCCCCAACCCATTCCTTCCCCATGTGAGGAAGGAATGCTGCACAGAGAGGCCAAAAAGAACCAGACAGGCCTTGCTGGGTATCCTCACTTAAGTCTGTTAGCATTAGACTACACCTTTTTGTCCAATCATATTTCGACATGGTTGTCTATACTTCATTTTTGTTGTTATTGTTGAACTCAGGGCCTCACATTTGCTAGGCAGGTGCTCTACCACTTGAGCCACTCTGCCAGCCAGTTGTTTATATTTTAGTCAAGCCCATCCTAAGTCCCTGTAAAAACTCAAAGGACTAGCCAGGTGCTGGTGGCTCGCACCTGTTATCCTAGCTACTTAGGAGGCAGAGATCAGGAGGATCGCAGTTCAAAGCCAGCCTAGACAAACAGTTCCTTAAGACCCTATCTAGAAAACAACCTATCACAAAAAAGGGCCAATGGAGTGGCTAAGGTGTAGACCCTCAGTTCAAACCCCAGTACTGGAAAAAACAAAACAAAAAAACCAAAGGAGAGGGTTCTGGAGCTCCTAGACTGCAGACTGCTGAACATGTGGAGGCTTACAGGAAGTCAAATGAGAATTCATTCATCTGCCAGGAGCAGCTCCATGGGGATGGAAGCTCCTGGCTCCAGACCTTTCCAGATCTTACTAAGTATCTCTGCATTTCATTTCTTGCTTATTCATATCCTTTAAAATACTCTTTATAATAAACTGGTGAATGTTAAGTAAAGTGGTTCCTTGAGTTCTATGAGCTGCTCCAGCAAATTATTCAAGCCAGAGAGGGATATGGGAACTTCAACTTGCAGTCAGTTGATCGGAATTTTCAGATTGGGTCAGAACTGAATTAAATTTGAAGATACCTACCTGATGTCCACCGTAAAATTGCTTGCTTGATTGCTGGTGGGAAGAAATTCACATACCTTTTGAGGTCACAGAAGTTTTCTGTATTGATGTGGTGTGAGAACAGGAAAAACAGATACTGTTGTTCCCAGACATACAGTATATATATTGATGAGTAAATTTTGAACAGGCACATAGTCATAATGCTCATTTTCTGTTGTTTAAAAAGCTTAGAATTCTTTTTTCTTGGGCCTAGGGTTTAAACTCAGGGCTTTGTACTTACAAAACAGGCACTCTACTGCTTGAGCCACACATCCAGTCTATTTTTGCTCTGGTTATTTTGGACATAGGATCTTGTGAACTGTTTGCCCGAATTGGTCTTGAACATCAATCATCCTGATCTTAGCCTCCAAGTAACTAGGATCATAGGCATGAGCCATGGGTGCCCAGCTGGTACTGGGGTTTAAATTGAGGGCCTCATGCTTGCTAGGCAGGCAGTCTTAATACTTGAGCCACTCTGCCAGCAGAATGTAATGCTTTTTAAACTCCAGGCTATCTCCACAATTTATTTCTTTTGGGATAGAACATTTTACAACTGTAACTCAGACTCAAGGATTCACGCTGAATTGGCAAATTACCAACTATATACAAACAGAAAAAGAAACTAGGTCCTTCAGGAAGATCAATTCACCCACCTGGTGAAAGAAGTAGGTAACAGCAAGGTCATTGTCATTTAAGAGGATTTCTTCTTCTGTTGTAAAAAGCCACTTTCGAATAGTCAGGCAGGTGCCTGGCACAGCAGATGTATAATTCTGGACGTAGAGTTTATGAGGAAATTCATTAGGTGCCAGCTTACGCACTGATGACAAAACAAAGAAAGCTGTAGTGAGAGGATGTATAACGGAATTCCCTAGTTTAAACTATGCAATGCAAGGCAGATCAAGAATAGTACGTTATCACTAGCTAGAACATCAGCTCAAATTCATCATGGAGCACAAAATCACCATGTGTTTAGTCAAATCTATTCCTCCCAACTGTGACTATGGCCAGTCAAGCCTCAAACTGACCGAAACCTATCACTTGAATGGTAGATCCTTCAGTAAACATGATGACTCTGCATACACCAACTCCAAACTCAAAGTACTTGATTTACAATCTGGCTACAGGTGATATCCACTGAACATGTTCAGAGCAAGCCTCTCTTCTTACCCAGCTATGAGGCATTCAGAGTCTCTCCTATGGCCATTCTCAATGAACTGCATTTATGTAAAGAACTAAAAGACTCTTCCCACCCCACTCCTGAAACCCTAGGGCATTCACCACAGTTGAAAGTATAATTCTTCTTAACAGCATACGGTAGGACAAAACACCACCACTTTTAATTTCTTCTTTCTTTTTTTTTGGCAGTACTGGGGTTTGAACTCAGGGCCTTGCTCAAGCTTGCTAGGGAAGCACTTTACTGCTTGAACTACACTCCTAGCCCTTTTGGCTTTAATTATTTTTCAGATACGGTCTCTCAAGCTTTTTGTCCAGACCAGTTGCAGATCTCAATCCTCCTACTATGACTCCAACCTAGCTGGGATTACAGCTGTATCCTACCATATCCAGCTTATTCTTTGAGATAGGTTTCTGACTTTTTTTTTTAACTTGAGCTGGTCTAGAACCACAATCCTCCTATCTCTGGTCCCAAGAGGCAGGGATTATACTTTTTTTTTTTCACTAAGTAATCCAGGCTGGCCTCAAACTCATAATCCTCCTATCTCAGTCTCCCAAGTGCTCCCAAGTACTGCCTTTCCTGAGTTTTCCTCTCTTAATATTTACTTGGCTTTATAACACTGCAAACACAGATTTAATATTTTTCATTTTAGTGAAATTAAAAGGTTAGAAAAGGATAAGATTAGAACCCAAATATCCTGGTACCTAGCCAATCCTTTGTGACACAATTTATACCTTCCTACTATGCTGCTGAGGGTTGGGAAGGAAAATAATAATAGGGAGATGGCTGCTTTAGGGGAATCAGTTACTCTACTTTGTCCTAGGATGGCAAGACAACTGAAATTTACCAAATTCTCCTCCTTCTGGGAAGAGAAAAGTCTGATCAACTAATGTTTCTATGTCACTTCTGGTCTTGGCCCTGTATGCATGTGTGATACAGAAGAGACTCATAAATATAGAAACCCATATAATTTAGAGCAAGCCCACAGACTTCACCTCCTCTTTGTGATTTCAGTGTAACCAATGTGACTGTGATACCACCCCTAGCTTTTATAAAATGAGAGACTTTCTGTCATCATGCAATCAAATTTTCTAGAAAGAGGAAATCTATTCACACAGAAACTTAAATATAAGAATTTAAACAAAAGCTTTTAAGCAATATATCTTTAACTTCTAAAAAAAAAAAAAAAAAAGCCATTCCTAAAAGTCTTTACAAAAAGCATAAAGTACACTGAAACCACATTGACTAAATAGAACATTCTCTTTTTAAGGCTATTTCATTGGAATATATTAACTTTGAACCTCTGATATAAAAGAACCTTAAGAAAGTATCTGATTCAGCACTAGGTATAACTTATACATACTAACAAAAGAGAAAAAGAATCAACAGTTACCAGGTATCCTGATGACCAGGCTTGACAGGATTTGCCTGGTTCGCTGGTTAGACAGAGTCCTAATGAGTGGGCCCACCCCTTGTCTTCAAGCTCTTCTCTGGGAAAATAGTTTCTATCCAATAGCATTAAAATAAAATACTCCCAAACAAAACTTAATAGCCACTAGCACTTACCAAAGGAATGATTGATCACTTCAAATAAGGCAAAGTAATTCACTGTTGTACTGTCCATGCCAACCTTTGCTGCAATAGCCTAAAGTTTAAACAGGATAGAATGGCTTCAGCAAAACTAAATCACACAATGCTGTGGAGAAATGTGTGTACATACGTGTGGAGGTGGGTAAAGGGAGAGGTTGTGATATGTTGGCTTCATAAAAACTATCATGGTCCATAACTATTCTTAAGTGTGCATGCATACATACATACATATATATGAAAGGAAAAACAAAACACCTGCCTTTGACTCAAATAGCTATGATCTCTGAGTTTCTCTCTTCTAATACAAGCTGATAATAATTTCTCCTTAATACCAGGTTTTCCTCTTGAAATATAACTTCTTTCCACAAAAGTTTTGTTGTTGTTTTGTTTTTGCAGTACTGTAGTTTGAACTCAGGGCCTCACACTTGCTAAGCAGGTGCTCTGACACTTGAGCCACTTCCGTCAGCCCCTTACTCCCATTTTTTTAAAGACAGGGTCTCTCTCTACTACCTTTGTCCATGCTGGCCTCACCACCCTTCTGCCTCTGCCTCCCAAGGAGCCAGGACTACAGACATGTACCACCATGCCCAAACTGTTTTATTTGCTTTTTTTAAGAGACAGGATCTTCCTAAGTTGTGTAGACGGGCCTCAAATTCCTGGGATCAAGCAATCCTCCTCCCTCAGCTTACAGAATAGCTTGGACTACAGGTGTGAACTTCCCTGCCTGGCTTGATTGTTGAGCTTAAAACACTATTTTGTCACTCTTATTCAGGTTTCACAAATTGTCTTTATTTTTCAGATGACCTATGTTCCAAACTGGGGACTTTTAGGCAACTTTATTTCCTAAGAATTACCATCATCAATAACCACATGAAAAAAGCAAAATATTGTAAAAAGAGGCACGTTAAAAAAGGATCAGTCCTTTTCTCTAGGAACTAAGGACCTAACATGGCAAATAAAAAAGAAATTGAAAGATTCCATGTGCAAATAAATAGAAAACAGAAATTATCTATAAAAACAAAGCACAAAACAAAAAACAAATAGTAGTAACAAAATCCCCTTTAAAGAGCAATCCCAATATAAATAAGGTATTAATTGAACAAGAAAAAACTGTTGAATGTTAGCATGTCAGCAAACCAAATATGAGCATATCCCTTCTTCCCATATCTGCTCACATATCAGGCCTAGGGTTCACTGCTAAAGTGGTGTAGGAACTGCACATTGTTAAGTGTTCCAAATCACTATTCTATACCATACTGGCTAGAAACTGATATGCTCTCAAGGTTTGAAAAATGGCTTCTATCTAGAAATCTAAGCAACAGGATAGGAAGAAAAGTTTAAAAAAACAAAACAAAACAAACAAACAAAAAAACCCTAGGCCCTGCTAAAGAAACATTGAAAAAAGGCAAAGAAAATAAAACATCAGCAAGCAATAAAAACAAGCATTTTTTTTCTTACAATTACTCCATCAGTATATTGTTTCAAAAATACCTCATATCCTTTGCAATGGTATATAGGAGATGAATAAATGAGGGATAATTTTTTTTGTGTTGCAAAGGAGAACTAAGCATTAATACCACTTGTCTCCCTAAAAATCTTGATCAAGGTGGAATTAAAGACAAATGAAAAAGCTTTCAAGCAATGATTATACCCAGTGCCTATATCATGATCTTAAATCCATTTCTCAATAAAAGGAATCAGACTCCATGAGGAAATGGCTTATTCTGGGTCTAGGGTAGGAAATGTATAAAGATGAGCCCAGGACATCTTGTTATACCAAGGATGATACTATAAACTAATGGACTGCATCAAAAGTAAATAGGACCAGCTGTCAGATTGGCTTAAGTTGTAGAGTGCCTGCCTAGCAAGCATGATGCCCTGAGTACAAACCCCAGTACTGCCAAAAAAAAAAAAAAAGGTATATAGGAGCAGACATGAAGGAGCTTCCATTGGCCAAAAATAGGATAACTTGAGCATCAAAAAGATGGTAATATGCTACTGATTAAGTCATATTTTATTTCTAAAACCACACAATACTAAAAATATACATAATAATTTCTCATTGGACATCATAAGAATCAACTAGGAGACTGGAGTGTGGTTTAAGTGGTAGACTGCTGGCCTAGCGAGCACCAGACTCTGAGTTGAATTCCTGAGTTCAATCCCCAGTACCACCAAAAAAAAAAAAAAATCAACTAAGGCACCAATTCTTCACTCTAAGAACTAACAATAGAAGGAAAAACTTGAAGATTTATCTCTTTCCTATAAACAGCATTTTAGGATAACTAAATAGCCTTAGTTGATAAGGGAAAATAATTTATAGAAGAAACCTAGTTATGCAGAGAAATGAGAAAATTAGAAAGTCATTGCAACCATTATGACATCATTGATTAAGGCAATAGTCATCGACAGATACGCTCATTTGACAAAAGATCAGTGGAAAACTACAAGGAAGAGAGCAGGTAATAATCACCACCAAGTCTACCATACCAATTAATCTTATTACCATTAAAAGTGGATAACTAGATATTGTGTATTGCCTGTTAAGAAGATGATCTATATACCACCAATTGTGAATATTCATATTGAAAAAGCAGAACCTGAATGTAATCATGCCTCTAGAGTATATTTCCATTTATAGAATATAGAGAGAGATAGAAGGACATAGTAAAAGACACTATGAAGAAACAAACAGATTAATTCAGAATGTGGGTCGTTGTACAGGACAATGACCCAATTTCTGCAACAAAACAATGGCATGGAAAAGAAAAAGTTGGGGAAGGAAAGGGGAACTGATCTATATTAAAGCAAATGTGATATAAGGAACTTGTTTGGATTCTTTTTTTTTTCTGGTACTGGAGCTTGAACTCAGGGCCTTGCACTTGCTAGGCAGGTGCTCTACCACTTGAGCCATGCCTCCAGTCCCAGATCCAAATTTTTTTAAAAAGCCACTTTTGGATAACTGGAAAAATCTGACTATGGAATAGTTATTAGTTAATACTAAGAAAATAGTGCTAAATTTTTTAGGTTTGATAATGGCATTTTTTTTAGATGTATACTGAAGTATGTATAGGTCTAATAACATTGGGTTTTGCTTTGAGAAGATAGAAGCAGGACTGGTAGAGTGGCTCAAGTGGTAGAGCACCTGAGTTCAAACCCCACTACCATCAATCAATCAATAAATAAATAAATAGGCAAAGGAAAAGGATACATGATGCAAATGTGGCAAAATCTTGATAATTATTAAATAAGAGTGATGAGCGCTAAGGATACAGCTCAGTGGTAGAGACAGCTCGACTAGCATGTGCAAAACCTTGGGTTTGGTCCCCAACATCACAAAAAACTATATGTAGATCATTACACTATTCTATTTTCATGTATGTTATAAAATTTTTTATAAGGAAAAAGGAGGGATTAATTATAACTGCTATACCCAGGGATATTTACTGCATATTTCTTTTAAGGAGGGCAAAGTATTTTCACATTAATAATAACAATTTAATAAACTTATTGTGCACCAGATACTCTAAATGCACATTATATATATTAACTCAATCTATCTTTCTTAACCTCACATTATTCAATATCAAGTTTAATTTACCTGATATACTTGGTCTGTAGTGCTGTTCTTTTTAACTCTGACAGTAACTGTTGTTCCATCTGGTAATGCTACTCTCAGCTCTACATCAGAAACACCATTGTAGTTCTGAGGGAAAAGATACAGAGAAAGAACTTTGACTAGTAAATTCTCATTCTCCATGTAACATGCTAGTTAAACAACATCTATCATGTAATAGAGAGGAAGTAAGTTCCAATAAAAAGGGGGAAAAACAAAACCTTAGTATATTTAAAAGTCATAAAGTTGACTTTAGGCTGTAGCAGAAGTTAACCTTTAATATGAACAAGGAAAAAAAGAAACATATTGAAGTCAATATGTTCACATTTCAAAACAGAAAACTGTGTAAAGCAGTCTAGGTCAAACACAGAGATTTTTGGTTCACTTACATCACCCCATTTAGAATTCACAATTGAGAAAGAAAACAACTGAAAGCAGTAGTGTCAACAAATATTTCGTATTTTGTTTTTAATGGTTAGGCATACAGATTGGCTCAAGGGGTAACCTTCCTTTCCAAGCCATGAAATAATCGGACATCTTTGAACGAAAAAACCAGATGAGACTCAGGGATCTGAGTTAGTTTGATGCCCAATTTTCTTCTAGTAAAGAGTAAACAATTCTTGGCAGGGTGTGGTAGCTCAAGCCTGTAAACTGCAGAGATCTCTGTTCAAGGGCTGCCTAAGTAAAAAGTTCAGCAAAAAGACCTATCTCAATTAATGGCTTAACAAGGTGGTATGCACCTGTCTTCCCAGCTGGGATACATAAATAGGAGGATCACAGTCCAGGCTGACCCAGGCATTTCTCAAAAATAACCAAAGCAAAAAGGACTGGTATCACGTCTCAAGCAGTGGAGTACCTGACTAGCAAGCATACAGCCCTGAGTTCAGCCCCCAGAATGGTCAAAAAAAAGAATTCTTATCTTCCTTAATTCAAAATTTAAATACTACTGACTAGGGTTCAATAGTAGAGCACTTGTCTAGCATGAGTAAGACCCTAGGTTTGATCCCCAGCCCTGGAAGAAAAAAAACTTACTGCTTTTAATAATTAACATGTTTCTCTAACCTTGCAACTTTTATTCGATAGAAATAACTGTCTAGGAATCAGCTCATCGTCTCTGACTACTTAAAAATTACTATTCATTACCTAAATCTACTCTAAGTATTACAGTACTCCCCTTTACCCACAGAGGATGTGTTCCAAGATCCTCAGTGGATACCTAAAACTGTGGTAGTACTAATCCTGTAATTTAAGGCTGTTCCCATCTTTGCTAAGCACTTATCACAATCACAGATGTAACTTCTGCAGTTTAAGGTATTATAGGAAAACTAGAATGAAGTTTTTTTTTTATCATTCTTTCATAATTTCATAGAAGATTCATTCTTACCATAGACCTTAGCAACCTCAGCATATAATTTTTTCTTATTATTGAGAACTTCTACCTTTTGAACTTAAAGGAGCATTCTACAGCTTCTCTTGGGTATATCTGAGTGGCTAGCATCACTATTCTGATGCTTTGAAACCATTATTAAGAGTTACTTGAATATAAGCAATGTGACACCAGGGGAGTCAATCTGATAGGTAGCCCAGCTAATAAGTGACTAACAGGCAGGGAGTGCATACAGAGTGGGTATACTAGACAAAGGATGATTCGGGTCCCAAGTAGGACAGCATGAGATCGTATGAGACTTCATTATGTTACTCAGAATGGCACACAATTTGAAATTTATGAATTGTTTATTGATGGAATTTTTATATTTAATATTTTAAGACCATAGTTGACTGCAGGTAACTGAAACTGTAGAAAGTAAAACCATGGATAAGGAGGAACTGCTATACTTAATTATAAGCCCCTGTGTACAAGAAACTTATAATATAGTCATGAAAACAACACATATACATATAAAATAATTACTGGAAAATATATTAGCATTGCATACACATTCTTCTATTCAAATAATATTTATTAAGCACTTGATACTGTAGTAAGGCACTGGGAATATAAAGATGATCAAGATTTAGCTCTCACCTACAGGTAGCTCATACTCTTATATGCTAAAAATATAAAGTGACAAACTGATTACATGTACAAAAATTAGAGAATGAGATAGCAATATGGTGATAACTGAGTGGTACTGACTAATACCACCAAGAAGTTCTTGGTGGAATGAAAAATTGATGACCTGAGTCATCAGGGAAGACTTCAAAGAAAGTTGGACTCGGCACTAGATCTTAAGTGATACATATGAAAACAAAGTAGAAGAAATATACTTATTTGGAGCTTACTACAATTCAACCCACAGTCATTGTCTTTATTTTTGCCCACACAGGAATTGAGGAGTCACTGAAGGAGGTATTCACCTACCTCATCTGATTCTGACAGGAATTCCTGCATGATGTCACTCTCACCGATGACTCGTATTGAACACACTGTGGAAAACAAAGATACAATCTAGCATAAGGTCCTAAAATCAAGAATATGAAGTCAAGAACATACCAAGATTTAAGTTTAAATCATCACTAGCAGGCAATGATAAGGTAGATGTGGTCCTGGCATATGAGATTTTAAGGCATGACATTCATCATGTGATCTAGACACAGGAAAAGCAGAAAACCCAAAGATGTAGTTTGCTAAAAAAAATATAAAACATACCAGAAAAGAAAAATAAAAGTACAATAAACCTAACTTTTCAGTCTATGTGGCCTACTAACATGTTAAAACAACAGAACATGGGGGAAAGAGGCATGAAAAGCAAAGGTCAATTAAGAATAGCCAAGCTGAGAGTAGTGAAGTATGCCTGTTATCCTAGTACTTGGGAGGCAGAAGCAGGAAGATCTAGAGTTCAAGGCCAGCCTTGGCTACATAGCAAGATTCTATTTCAAAAAACCAACATAAATAACTTTTTTCTTAAAAAAGGGCAAATCATATATAAAAATTGAAATACAGAAGGACAGGCTGGAGGAGTGATCAAGTGGTAGAGCACCTGCCTAACAAGCATGAGGCACCAAGTTCAAACCCCAGAACTGCAAAAAACCAATCTATTCGGTCTAGAAACAGGCTAGTCAGAGAACAATAAGCATTTAAAGTCACTTTGGAAAAAAAAAAAAAAAAAGGGTAACTAATTAAGTATTAAGCTCAGTGTATCATTCTACCTCATTGACTTTAGTTCCAAAATGATAATCAAAAACAGAAGAGCTGGGTGCAGTGACTCACATCTATAATCCTAGTTACTTGGGAGGCAGAGATCAAGAGGATCATGGTAAGAGGCCAATCAACTCAGGCAAAAAGTTAGTGAAACTCCCATCAACTAACAAGTCAGGCATGGTGTGATCCCAGTGACTGGGAGGCACAGTAAAAAAGACTGCAGTGGACAAAATAACTAAAAAGTAAAAAAAGGCTTGTAGTATAGCTCAAGTGGTAGAGCAGTGGGGGAGGGGGAGGAAGGAAGAAAGGAAGGGAGAGAATGGAAAGCAGGCAGCTAAGTAGCTAATCATATAAATCTAATAAACTTAATTTCTTTTTTTTTTTTTTTGGTGGGACTAGAATTTGAAATCAAGGCTTCACACTTGCATAGCAGGTGCTCTTTTTTTTTTTTTTCCAGAGAGAACTTGCTTTTTTTATTAGTGTATATAAATAGTACAAAGGGGTCTCATTGTGATATTTTCATACACAAATTTGCTTTTAAATGCTTGGTGATAATTTCAAAACTAAGTAAAAAGAGATCACTTACAAGTAACACTGAAAATGATCATAGGTATAATCTCATTGTTAGTACAATTTGTTTTGAAAGGAATCTTTCCATTTACAAAGACAGTAGTGATATGCTTATCTGTAAAACAGACTCTTTGAACATGCATTTTAAACAAGTTTATCAAATGTATACTAAAATATAGATGGTACAAAGATATTTATTATAGTAATAGAAAATGTTAACTGCTTTCTTTTTTTTTCTTTTATTATTCATATGTGCATACAAGGCTTGGGTCATTTCTCCCCCCTGCCCCCACCCCCTCCCTTGCCACCCACTCCACCCCCTCCCTCTTCCCCCCACCCCCTCCCTCTTCCCCCCACCCCCTCAATACTCAGCAGAAACTATTTTGCCCTTATTTCTAATTTTGTTGTAGAGAGAGTATAAACAATAATAGGAAGGGAGAGGCTTTTTTTTTTTTTTTTTTGTCTTTTCTTTTTTGGTGCTGGGATCGAACCCAGGGCCTCACACATGCTAGGCAAGCGCTGTACCACTGAGCTACATCCCAGCCCTGCAATAATAGGAAGGAACAAGGGTTTTTGCTAGTTGAGATAAGGATAGCTACACAGGGCATTGACTTACATTGATTTCCTGTGCGTGTGTGTTACCTTCTATGTTAATTCTTTTTGATCTAACCTTTTCTCTAGTTCCTGGTCCCCTTTTCCTATTGGCCTCAGTTACTTTTAAGGTATCTGCTTTAGTTTCTCTGCGTTAAGGGCAACAAACGCATAGCAGGTGCTCTACCACTTGAGCCACACCTTCAGCCCGAAAGTTAATTTTTGACACTCTCTTGAGGATGGTAAATTATACTGATGGCTTTACTTCATTTGATTAAAAAAACTGTGCCCTTTCTCACTTCCCTAAGGCTGTTGTTCAGAGGCAAGTCCATGTTAGGAAAAGCTGAAAACAGAGAAAGAAGTTCTACTACATTCTATGAAGAAAATAGTTTTCCTTCAGGGATAAGGCTCCCTACCAAAGTATTCTTTTTTAAATTAACTAGGTCAATTAGTTCTTACACAAGCACATAAGGACAAAGAATTGCTGAATATCACAAAAGACCATTATTCTAATATTTTAAAGACATGCCTATTGCATAGCTACCAAGTTATCTAATTCTACAATGTAGCAAGGTCTCTTCTCTGAGTCACCAAGATTATCTTATTCAGGAGATCTACATCATTTCTCTGCCTTTCTAGAGAACAATGTATCAGCATCCACATCCACAGACTCCTAATGCATCATTTGGAAGTTTCAATAATTCCACTTTTAGCTTGCTTAGAACAAGGGAGTTTAGATTACCTACAACTGAGCAAATCTATCCAGGAATAACTGTAAAAGGAATAGAGTTTTCATATAGAATATCACAATAAGCCAAGAGTCATTATAATGAAAATATCTTAAATATTGTCCACTTAATTCCCAAATCAACACAGCACATTGTTACGTCTGTTTGTATGTATTTGCTGACAAATAATATAACCCTATTAAAAAAGGTCCATTAAGAAACATCAAAATGCATCAAAACTAATATTCATTTTTTACGTTGCTAAGTGCTTTGGGAAGTCAGTAATACTAATACCTTACTGAATATTTCAGTCTTGCCTTCAGAGATCAGATCATTATAGTCAGAAATTTGAATTAACTTTTACTATTGAGTTTTAGGAAACATCTATGTGGTTTGCAATATATACCTAGAATCCATGTCTACTCAGGATAGTAGAGTTTAATAGACTGGCTTACCTTTTTCTAGATACTCTTCCAAACCCCGACGCCGGGCATCTAATTGCTGTTCTGATAATGAGAACGGCCACTTTCCTGGAAGTCGAGGAAATGTAAAGTTGGCAAACTCTCTCTTCAGGTTCTGGTGTAGGATGGCAAACTCCCTGTACCGCTTAGAACACAACTGCCTCCCTGCCATGTAAACATTGTATACCTGATAAGAGAGAAGAACAAAGAAAAGCTTACTTAGTACAAAATAAATCACAGAATCATCTACAGTGAGGTTCAGAAGGATATTGGTTAGGTATATTCCTATGCACTGAACAGGTCACTTTAAAATAAAACTTACTTTTAATAACATGCCAAAAATTATATGTACAAGAGAGTTACTCCCTTCAAGGGAGGCATGAGCTTCTTTTTGCTAATAAAATTATCTCCAACATACTTCTAAACATCTTTCAGAGGCAATTATCAGTTGTTTTTGTTTGTTTCTTTTGCTTTTTTGTGGGACTGGGATTTGAACTCAGGGCTTCATGCTTGCCAAGCAGGCACCCTACTGCCTGAGCCACATCTCCAGTCCATTTTACTCTGGTTATTTTGGAGATGGGCTCTCACAAGCTATTTGTCTAAGCTAGGCTTGAACTGCAATCCTCCCAATCTCAACCTCCCAAGTAGCTAGGATTATAGGTATGAGCCACCAGCACCCGGCAATTATCAGTTTTTAAGAAAGGACTTTATTTTCAGAAAGCTTAAAATCTCAAAGCCAATGTGTACATATAGCAAATGAACAAGCAAGCAAATAAGGAAGGAGATGAAAACCTAGGAGTGATTATAAGGCAGTGTGACTGATGTGTATGTATAGCTCAACAGGTTCTACAGTTAATTCTAAAGAAAAGGCCTAAAAATGGTATCACAAGGGCATTTTTGTTAGGAAGTGGATGCTATAAAAAAAGCAAAATAAAAGCCAAGACTTTTTTTTTCTTTTGAGACAGTACCCCAGGATGGCCTCAAACTCTCAATCCTTCTGCCTCAGCCTTCCAAGTGCTGGGATTACAAGTATGTACCATCATGCTTGGCTTTCTTCATGTCTGACTTAGTCTTTTTCATTTGTGTGCACTGTGAATATCTTCTATTTGTCACTAGTGTTTTCAGAGTTTTTTTTTGACAGTACTAAGGGTTGAACTCAGGGCCTCACACCTACTAAGCAGGCATTCTACCACTTGAGGCACTCTGCCAGCCTTTGTGTATTTTCAAGGTAGAGTCTAGCAATCTATTTTGAGACTTGGGTCTATTTTGAGACCCAGGTTGGCTTCAAACCTCAATCCTCCTGACCTCTGTCTCCTGAGTAGTTAGGATTATAGATGAGAGTCACCAGTGCCCGGCATGTTTTTACTTTTTTTTTTTTTTTTTTTTTTTGTGGTACTCGAGACTGAACTCAGGGCTTTGAGCTTTACCACTTGAGCCACACCTCTAGTCCTAGCACTAATTTTTAAAATTTTTTTTGAGAGGTACTAGAGTTTGAACTCAGGACCTCACACTTGCTAAGCAGGCACTCTTACTGCTTGAGCCACTCTGCCAGATCTTTTTTTGTGTTGGATATTTTTGAGATAGGGTCTCCCAAACTATTTGCCCAGGGATGGCTTTGAACTGAGATCCTTCTGATCTTTGCCTCCTGAATAGCTAGGACTACAGACATGAGTACAAGCACCCAGCTCCTATTACTCATTTTTATAAATAATACTTTTTGTGTCTACGGAAACCTTTTTCTAAACTCAAGATCTAAAAACTATTTACTGATATTTTCTACTTAGAACTTTTAATTTTTTGATTTGTCACTGAAGTCCTTAGTTCTTCTGGAGTTAATTTTTCTGTAATACAGTCTCACTGATATTTCTTTTAAATCTAAGAATATTTAAAATCAACTTTTAACTGAATTATCCCTAAATAAAAATATTCTGTTTTTATAGGATAACCCAATCTGGAGACTTCTGAACGGTCTGTAATTAACCTCTTACTACAAATAATAGAAAACTGGACACAAAATAGAACACAACTGCTGTAGACCCTTGGTATCTGCCAGTATGTGGTTCTAAGAAGATTAAAGAGGAAAAATAGCATGTGCTTGGGATACACAGTTCAGTACTATACTGTGGATACTTGACTCATTTTTCCCATGATGCTGTCCAACTTCCACCAAACACATCACCTTTCAACAAATCCAAACTTTTTACTTTATCACTTTAAGTAAAAGCACATTAACCTTTACCATGCTTTTGGGCACCATTTGCTTTTTGGGAGCATATTTTCACAAAATTAAAGGCAGGGAAATTCAGCAGATCACACATACAATTTAAACACAACTGACAATACAACAGGGATGACTGAGAGCTATATAATATATGAACAGGAATTAAAAATTTTTTTTTAATTTATTTTGACTTTTTTGAAAAATATTTTCTTTTGGCTGGAGGTGTGGCTCAAGTGGTAGAGTGTCTTTCTAGCAAGTTCAAAGCCCTGAGTTCAAACCCCAAAACCACCACCAAAAAACAAAACCAAAAAATGGTCAAAACCATGTGTAACAAATTCACAAATAAAACAGGATTACTATATTTTCCAGATATTGGACAACAGGGAGCTGAGAACTGTGATCCCTGAGAAAAGGGAAAAAAAGATGATGAGTCTGGAGGTAACTTTTTTTTTTTTTTTTGGGCAGTACCAGGGTTTGAACTCGTGGCTTTATGCTTGCCTAGGCAACTTACCACTTAAGTCACTCCACCAACCCTAGAATGGCTCAGTTAAGGCTCTGAGTTCAAGCCTCATTACTGCAAAAAAAAAAGAACTGGCCTGGCCTGCCTAAGGTATGACACAGGTGTGGCACTGAGTTGAACAGAAGACTGAAGTTCAAGGAGTTCAAAGTATCTAGAATCTGCAGGACTAAACACAAGAGGGAGCTAAAGAGCAGAAATTCACATTGGGTCACCTTGAGTTTTGACTGAATAACAATCTAAGGAAAGAACTTAGAGAAGGAGAGCTGTAAATGAACAATTTTTACCCAAGGTATGGAACCATTCAACTTCCCTCCAAACAGAACACAGACCTCCCTGAATCTACATGGAATTCAAAAGGGAACTCAAAAAGGCCATGTTTTAGGGACAGGACTGAATTAGCTCTACAGTAAAAGCTGTTCTAGCTGAGAATGTAGCTCAGTGGTAATGCACTTGTCTAGCATGCCAAGGCCCTGGGTTTTATCCCTAACACTTAAAACTTTGCATTTGTTGGGGAGAGGGGCAGGAGCTATTCTAAATTACCCTAACAGGATTTAAAAACAAACCTCAAAAGGGATAAAATAGTCTGTACATAACTGCATGCCTAGAAAAAAATTCCAACTCTCTTTAAAGGAACATTAATAAAATCTAGCATCTAAAAGCACTAAATTCACAATATCCGATAACCAACAAAAATTAATAGACATGAGTGTGGGGATGTAGTTCAGTGGTTGAGTATTTGCTTAGTATGCACCAGGCCCTAGGTTCAATCCCCAGTACTGTAAAAAAAAAAAAAAAAAAATTAATAGACATATAAAGAAGCGTGAAAATTTCATCTATTACCACAAGAAAGAACAGTAAGTAGAAATACTTAGAAATGACAGAAACAAGAGTTAGTGGGGCTGAAGGTATAACTCAGTGGTAGGTTATGCGCCTAGGTGAGGCCCTAGGTTCAATGCTCAGCACAACACACACACACATACCCCAAAGAAAAGGAAGGAAGGAAGGAAGGGAGGGAGGGAGGGGGAGAGAAGGGAAGAAGGAAGGAAGGAGAAAAAGAAAATGAGTAGGCAAGGACAAGCAGTAATTATAGGCTGGTTGTGATTTAGGAAGCTGCAAGAGCACTGCCAGCATTAACACAAGGAAATATCCCACTTATTTCCAAGTCTTTTCCTCTGAGCAGCTAATGCACTCACAAGAAACACTAAGAAACACAGAAAACAAGGAACATGGCATGGCAAGAGACTAGAGATAGTCTTTCCTTAATGGCCCAGGCATACGGAGGTGATCAGCAATGGTTATGGGACACAATAACCACAATGTCCAACCATTCCCTCTCCCCTTCTACTAAAGCAAAATACTTAAGCTGTTGGGAGATGAGCAGCAAACCCTCTCATCCAGAGGGTACAGGCAAAGATCCACTGCCTCTGCATAAGGAGTAAAAGCAAAATACTCTGCACTCCTGGGGAGTGAAAGGACCACATTAGGCCCAAGTTCGTACACTGATAACAAGGGGTCTGCTATACCTGGGAAGGGAGTGAAAACTCACAAAATTAACCACAGACATAAGGCAGAGACAGTTTGGCTACAGTAAGGAAAAAGGACAAAAGAACTAAGAAACAGGGACAAAGACTCCACCTAAAACTAAAGCTGGATCAGACAACATCTACCTATACCATGAATCTAGTCCAGGTAAAAAGCAAGAACAATCTACCAATGGCAGTGGGCAAAAATGTAGAGAGAAAACTTGTCTATGGTACAACCATGCAGGGGTAGCTGATAGCTGAGAATCCCAGAAGCCCGCCAAATCCCCAGGCCCCACTCTAAATTACAGGTAACAGCAGCTTGTCTACAATAAAGGTAATGACAGCTACAACAAAACACAAAGCTTAATTAATTGACTCAACTCCCTGATAGAAAAGGCTTGCCCATTTCCAGGATCAAATACTATTTATCTTAGTCTCTACTGTTCTACAGTAGACATAATCTACTCCTATGTGTAGGAGTAGACTGTGTAGGAGTCAATTAAATATGACAGGACAAAAAAAAGTAACACTTATGTGAGATAAAGGAGTTTCAGAAATGACGCAGACATTGAAATTACCAGGGACTTTAGGATAACTGTGATTAACACTTTAAAGGACCTAATGAAAAAGGAAAAGGTAGAAAACAAGTATGAACAGATGAGGAATGTTAGCAAATATGAAAAATAGAAGCAAACATCAAAGGAAATGATAGAAATAAAAAGCAGGGTATGAGAAATGAAGAATTTTTCCACAGTCTCATTGGTAGACTGGATACTTAAGAGGAAATAATCAGTTAAATTAAAGACAGGTCAATAAAAATGATCTAAAGAGATGAAGAAGAGCTAAAACATAATAGAGCATCCAAAAGCTCTAGGACAATATTAAATGGTCTCAAGTATGTATATCTCAGAAAGACAAGAGAAAAACAACAGAGCTGAAGAAATATTTGAAGACATATTGGCTAAAAAACCTCTAAAACTAATAAAATATATCAAACCACAGATTTCCTAAACAGGATAAATACCAAGATAAATACC